CCTGCCTACAACACCACGCCAAAGCACCACCTAAATCCTCAATTTTTAAGCCCTACAAACATTCTTCAGAAATGTCGGAATCCTCTGAAACGTCAAAAAAGAAGTTTGAGTGATCTTTATTGTATTCATTTATGGCCTTTTTATCCGCCGCCTCTAACCGACTTTCAAAAACTACAAAGCTTTTTCGTCCGCATCATAGTGGTAACCTTGTCTGAAAATTTCAACTTCAACCGCTACTTTTCAAGTTATAGACGGGCCACGGATTGACGGACAGACGGACCAACAGATAGATCGACAAACATATAGTTCGTCAAAAATGAGTGGCATGATTATTCAAGATGTACAGTCATATAACATCAAAAAAATAATACCCCATTTTAAATTTTTTTCGCGATGACGATACTTGCCTGTACACGTGGGAAGTAAAAAGGCTGAAATGTTACATTATTGACAAACATCAGCAATAAGATTGATTGCTATGGTTTTTACATTCAAATTTTAGCCTTTTAGAAATCAATTAATTATTTGACTCATTTATTGTTTTTATTTGTGACATATTTATTTGGTTAACCCAATAAAGAATATTATTATTACTATTATTCACATTTGTTTTATATCAGCCAAGAATACCTTCAGCTTTTATGGACTAATCAGTCCCTATTTCCGATGTATGGATTGATATTATAAAATGCGAAAGATGTGTCAGCCCTAAATCTTGGACATGTTTGACTTTCCTGTATCATAAATCACTGCGTGGTAGCCATACGGCAATTTGTATGTCCATGGTCATCCACAAGTGGCTTATCATTTAGCACATGGCTGTGAAAAAGTTATCTAAATTGCCAGCTCGTATATACGGCCACGCATTTTACTAGCATACCGCGAGTTAGAAATGATGCCTTGGGGATAACGATTTCCCACATAACATGCGCCTGGCGCCAGGGGCATTCCCCCGCCGCAAGTAACCAGTTACATAATATTATGCTTGGACGAGGGCCGCTGAATAAATAGCTTGATTTTTGCGAAGTGATGGTAAGTTAAAAATAGGCGATTTCTTGTCTCCCCGGGGAACAAAAGCAACCCATTAAATATTGTTGTTTATGATAGATGATGAAAATGAATTACCAATTGGAAACTTGAAAAGTGCGGGAAAATCTGGTGGGCAGTCCCTGAGGCCCGATTTTACTATTGACCTGCGAAAATCAAAATTTGCGACCTTATCGCAAAAATTCGACTAACAAAAAGGAGGATTTGCGCCTTGTTCGAAACATGGATCAAACCTGATACAATATCTAGACGTAGACTGATTACTGGGCATGTTACTGAAAATCACAGTGTCACTAGTTACCTAAGAGATAGTTTAGACAAAAAAGGATACACAATCCATCAACATGTCCATTGAGGTTAGCTATACAAACTTTTTCTGCTCTTCATAAGTTTCTATAAGGTCAGTCGAACTAGATCATTGATTTTTGTCTTTGCAGAACAAAATTCTGCTTGATAAATTCTCTGAAGATAAATAAAATTACAGAATGCGTATCATTTAACAAACATCGAGTAAATATTAA